GGAAAAAGCGGAAGTCCGATTACTTTTGGCTGAGATACAGTACACACTGCAAAACGACTTTTTTATAAAAAATAATATATATATATTAGCCGATAGTATTGGCTATAAGAATTAGTAGATGTTATTCAAAAGACATTTAACATCATACAAAAGGTTTGAATTGAATACATCTCAATAGTTTTCACTGAAAAACGGTTAACGGACGGTTAAATAAATAATTGCAATTTTTTAATAGATAGATTAAAAAATGTCTTTACTTTTTGTCATTCAAAAATTGTCAAAAGACTTAAAACTTAACTTTTAATCATTAAGGGCCGGTTTCTCGAGTCCCTGTCAAAGTCCCTGATAGCTATCTGTCCGAAAAACTTAAAGACCAGATAAACTGTTCGTAAAAGCAAATCGGCTTTCTCGACTGCTTTAATTTATCTGAACGAGAAACAATTACTGTTCTGTGCTGTTAACGCACAGAACTGTGGTGTAAAGCGCAAAAAATGGCGTGCTTCGATTATTTCATCAGCTGTTTGGGTATATTTCAAGGGAAAAGTCAGCTGTGATTTCGTTTCTTTTTCTTAGTTGGCTTTGGGAAATCAGCTGTCATTCTATCGAGTTGAAAACGCTTAACAGGGACTCCGAGTCCCTGTCAAAGTTAGCTCTCACATTTATGCTCTGTTTCTTTTTCTTAGTTGGCTTTGGGAAATCAGCTGTCATTCTATCGAGTTGAAAACGCTTAACAGGGACTCCGAGTCCCTGTCAAAGTTAGCTTTCAGGACTTTATCTGTTCGAGAAATGTTAGCCGGCACTCGAGAAACCGGCCCTTAAAATTGTTAAAGGACTAGTACACGATGAGAAAACATGAATTCCATAAGAATCCGATAAGAGTGAGAGAGTAGACCTACTTGCTGCGACGTTTTTTCATAGGAAAAAGCCGAAGCCTTGTTAAAAAAAAACTATATTTAGGGCCGGTTTCTCGAGTGCCGGCTAACATTTCTCGAACAGATAAAGTCCCTGCTAAGGCATTTTGGCTTTCTCGAGCATAAATGTGAGAGCTAACTTTGACAGGGACTCGGAGTCCCTGTTAAGCGTTTTCGGCTCGATAGAATGACAGCTGATTTCCCAAAGCCAACTATGAAGAAGAAACGAAATCACAGTTGACTTTTCCATTGAATTATACCCAAACAGCTGATGAAATAATCGAAGCATGCCATTTTTGCCACTTTACAGTGCGTTAACAGCACTCTGTAATTGTTTCTCGTTCAGATAAATTAAAGCAGTCGAGAAAGCGGATTTGCTTTTACGAACAGTTTATCTGGTCTTTAAGTTTTTCGAACAGATAGCTATCAGGGACTTTGACAGGGACTCGAGAAAGCGGCCCTTAGAAAACTAAAAATGGCTCCAACTTTTTACAAAAACAATGGTAAAAAAATTTTTTTTAATCTTAATTTGATTTTATTTTTAGGAAATTAAAAACTTATTTTTTTTTTAATTTTATTTTGAAGTCAATCGGACTCATATAACTGGAGATACACATTTTTAATGAAAGGTACTTTTTCAAATTTGCCGATTTTTGGCCAACTTAAAAAATTTTTAACTAAAAAAATCATTATTTTTCGGCAAAATCCTGATACACGTAATTACTTATTTTCCGAATAGTACATGTAAAAATAAGTTTCAGGCAAATCAAAAATGTGAAGTTTTTTTTGCCAAATCTGTTTGGTTTGTAAAAGAACGGTTCATATATTTGATGTATTTTCAGTAGACATTTTACAACATTGCCAATTGGCTAAACTTTATGTTGTTTCAAAATTTAAATTTGCCAAGTGCTTTACCACTTATAAATAAGTGTATAGAGTATAAAAAATATTAACAAAATGTACAATTTAATTAGGCACATTCAAAATTATCAAAAAATAGATAATAGAGTCTCGCAATTAGTCCCACATCTTATTTGACGATTTTGCTGAGCATTACCTTATAAGTACCCCGTTAGGACACCTCAAACTTTTTGTTTCCTTTCAAAGAGAGACAGTATTTGCTACCTTATCTACATATGTTATTGGAAATGCGGCGTTTCTTCAACTCAAACACAAAACACGCGAAAATGCGACAAGCGTCGTTATCAAGTGATTCCACTTCATTATCAAGCACTCTCTCCCGCATTCTTCCGCTCACACTCACATACCAACATTGCCCACCTCTTGGCTCTTGGCTTACTCACTCATAAGCGAGCCATGTATTTGCAAATTGTCAAACTGTAAGAATTTCACCCGAATTCAGCGCCAAGTGATTTCTGTGTGACCATCGATTAATGAAGAATTTCCAGGTAAGAAAGAAATGCTAATACTTTTGAATACCCTTTTTTACAAATAAGAAAATTGCAGCACTTGGGATAAGGGCGTGCAGTCTACGTAGCAACACTCACTTGTGTGTCATTCAGTATCTCCAGATGTTCTCCCTTCCGGAAGCTCAAATCCTCGTCGGTGCGGGCGTCGTAGTCGTAAAGGGCGACGAATATCTTGGCATTGGCGCCGGCAGTGTCGCTTTCCGGGATCTGGGGAACGGGTCGGATCTGCTCCGCGGGCTGCCCAGGGTGAGAGGGCATGGGGATCTGGGGCACGCCCACGCCGACGCCGATGGTGGGCGGGTCGTCCAGCTTTATGCGATCGGCGGGCTTATCCGGCTCGCCCTTTTGGGTGGTGAGGCAGTTCCCCATTGTCGGATGAGTAACAGTAGTACTGCCGAAGAGTTCGAGAGCTAAATGCAATCAATGGAAGCCAATTGCAGCGAACGCGTTTACTGTTACTTTCACTGTTTGTTTATTGTTTGTAGCTGGGAGATCGGCGCTTGGGTGTTGGCACTAATCGCCGCTCTCACTCGATCCCCTCTCCCGCTCACTATCCACAACGCTTACAATTTGTGCAAGTTGCTGTCGCGTTTTCGCTCAACTCTCTGTTTTACTGAGCATTAACTAAATTAAATGCTTGCCCACGACCAAGCGTGTGCCTGTGTGTGCGTGCGTGAGTGTTTTCTCACTTTTATCTACATTCGCTCGTGTAGGTGAGTGCGTTGTGTGGGTGTGTGTGATGCTGTGCTGCTGGCAAAAACAAAAGCAGCAGGATGAAGTCGACGGGAGGCCGCAGAAAATGTTCCAAATCTATGATTAAATGGGTGACTCGCGCGTGCACTTTTATTAATCTGGTCTGGCAGTCGCGTTTACATTTTTTTACTTAGTTATCGCCCTCTTTTTCCATCGCGTTGCAAAGAGACAGTGTGACCGTGCGGGAGACGCAAAAAATACCGATGTACTAGGACAGATTAAATACCGTTTACACTAGCGATAAATTTTTAAATACCGAAATTACAATTTTTTTTTGCTCACAGCCGATAAAAGCCTTTAATACTCCAAAAAAGTGTTTCCACTGGGTTTCCATTTATCGGGCTATGACAGGTGCTTCCTGCTTTAGTTTTCAATTGTTTGCATATTTCTGATCCGATTTAAAAATATTCATTCTACATTTGATGAGTACAACAACATTGCATTTATACTTTTCGAATATCTTTAAAGATGTGGGCGCGAGACACATTTTAAAATCGGTTAAGGCGATTGTGGGTGTTAGAGTGGCGCATCGCCTTGATGAAACGAATTTGCCTTGCGCAGAAACTCAAAGAATATGCATGCTTAATACAAATCTACTAGCACTTGTAGTTTCCGATATATCAGCGTTCATACGGACGGACGGATTTGGCTAGATTGACTCGGCTCGTGATCCCGTGATCACCATCTGTTTTGGATTTGCAACAGCGAAAACTATTATAATTATTATAATAATTATTATTATAATTATTCGCTAATTTGTTAAGTTGTTGAATTTCTGTCAGCTGACTATCAGTTCCACATAATCCAGATTTTGAACATTTTCAGCAATTTTACAACCTTGAGGTAGAGCTGTTAACAATTCCATTTTAAAAACGATTTCTTTAGAGAATCGACGCATCGATCAGCATTAAACAAATTATTATCTCAAGAAGTTATTTGGGCGTGGACAAATGAAAATGAGCGTACTATAACTCAAAGAAGATTAATTAAACTAATGAGTTATAAACCGAAATCTGAACTTTCCATTACTTCCATTTTAATCTTATTCTTCTTTTGATTTTAATTTTTTTTTCGATTTTAAATCGATTTAATCGACCTATTCAGAATTTAATCTAAAAGAATCGATTCACAAAAATTAGAATTCTTTAAAGCTCTACCTTAAAGCTGTTGAATCGTTCAAAACAAGAGTTGTCACCTCATAATGTATATAAAATCTTTTTATTAAAAAGACATCACCAGTACTCACTATTTTCTCTAAAATTAAATTTGAAAGAATATATGTACATATGTAACATATGAAGTTTAACCTACCTTATAAATATTGAATACGCTTGCAGTTAAGATACACACTAACGGTTAAATTAATCTTCTTTTCGTGACCGAGATTCTAGAGCTCCCCGTTTTTAAATTAATATTAAATATAAATTTCCTTCTTCAAAACGAACAAAGTTATAATGTTAAACATCTATTATTTTATTGTTTATTTCTATGGGAGCCATAAGATACAGTGGTCCGATCCGGCTCGAAAAGTGTCATGTCATAGCTTTAAAGCTGAGATACTAGTTCGCATAAAAACGGACATGGACTCGGTTATGGTGCTGATAAAGAATATATATACCATATGTCGTTCTCTTATTGCTAAAAGAGTTATTGAATTTTTAACAATTCGTTTGGCTAAAGTAAAGTAGGCCTTAAACTCTGAATTTCAAGGATTTATCCCTTCTTTAAATTAAACATGCGGACGATTAAAGGGCCTGAATAGGCCGTTTCTGCAGGAGCAGAAACTCCCTCTGTCTGAACAGGCTGTCAACCTAGTGTAAACGATTTCTTAGAGTAAACGATTTCTTAGAGTAATCGAGTTAATGATTTTGGTATTTTTGATTCCACATTAGGTTTTCGATAACAATATATTTATGTACCTAGAACGCGTTAGTGTGCTCGCTTTTTTGGAATTATTTTCATCCCCCTCAGAAATCAAAGGGAGCATATCGATCAAAAGTTTGAAGTTTTCAATTTGAGTCGACAATTGCAGATTTCATATAACATGGATATAAAATCATTTCTTTACGAATTTTGCGCCAAGTCGCGTATCGAACCAAAGTTTGACGTACGGCAAACGGGTGAGTGATTTTCATTGACTATCCCTCAGCCGGCATTTTTCAAGTAGCATATGTGTGCTATTAATATTAACTTCATACATATGCAGGTCCCAAAAACCGTCAGCGTTTCTTGTGCGAGGTGCGTGTGGACCAGAACAACTACATAGGTGTTGGAAATTCCACTAACAAGAAGGATGCCGAGAAAAACGCGTGCCGCGACTTTGTCAACTACTTGGTGCGAGTGGGCAAGCTGAATGCGCAGGATGTGCCTGCGGATGTGGGTGCTTCGGCGGGGGCGGGACCAGGACCCAGGGTCGGTCAACAGGGCGAGGGCGTGGCACTGGGCGGTCAGCAGAAGCGCGTGTTTGGTGACCAGACCGGTCCCCAGGATCTAGGAGAGGCCTACCGCCCACTGAACCACGAGGGGGGTGGCGATGGCAGCCGCTTCAACATTATCGACCATGTCCAGGAGCAGAAGGACATGAACGAGGCTGAGTCCATCGATGTTAACGCCGCTATCCACGGCAACTGGACCATAGAGAATGCCAAGGAACGCCTGAATATGTACAAGCAGGCCCACAACATCCGCGACGATTACAAGTATACGCCAGTGGGCCCGGACCATGCTAGGTATGTGCTTTCTTAATACTTTGAGCCTGCATTCCGGATTTGGCCAAGTTAGTTTTACGGCCAACTCTGCAGTGCAGGCCGCAATCCCTGGGAGAACTGCGAGCGATCCGTGGAGAGCTGGGCAAGCAGAGCGACGTGGTACGATACACTAAACTACTAGAACCACGTCCGGCTGCCTTGCCTGGGGTCTGTAAGGAAAACGGTCGCTCATGCAAGGCGGCGTAGGTGGCAACATACAAGCGCTGGCTTGCCGGCTGCGTCTTCGATATTAGTACCACATCGCTCTGCCAGCTGGCTCCTCTGCCGCTGTCCACGGTCGCCCACAATGGGTGGGTCTGATAGACTGGTAAGTTCCGACCGCGGTCGGTCGCATGACGGTCGGGAACTTTCTCTAAACGCCTTGTCAATCTAGGAGCTTCATGGCCGAGTTGTCCATTTACGTACCGGCGCTCAAGCGGAAAGTGACTGCCCGCGAGACGGGTTCCAACAAGAAGTCGGCCAGCAAATCGTGTGCTCTGTCCCTGGTGCGTCAACTCTTCCATTTAAAGGTTGTCGAGCCCTTTAGCGGAACCTTAAAAAAGAAGAAGGACGAGGAACTGAAACCATACCCAGTGAAGCTCGCGCCCGAGCTGGTTAACAGCATAGACGAGGTGATCCATGTTCTAGACCTCCCAGTCGTAAACCCGCGCAATATAAAAATAGAGTCGGACGGCGCTCCCATCCCATTGATTGTAAGTGATTTGAAACTCTTTACATATTGCTACAAGTGTGTCATACTTACATACTTTCGGGGTCTGCTAATCGTAGGTGGGTGGAAACTTCATTTATTGACAATTTTATGAAATATTGACAAATTAAACCGCTGCTCTATAGCTTTTATAGTTTCAAAGATTTCAGCGCTTAGACGGACAGACAGACGGACATGGTTAGATCGACTCGGCTAGTGATCCTGATTAAGAATAGGGTCGGAAACTTTTCCCCGAATACAATATAAACTTTTACTACACGAGTAACAGGTATAAATACTATTTTTTGTATGAAAAATATGTGAGTTGCCTTGAATTTGGAACATTTGTGTGGACGCAAAAAAGGGACTAATCGTTTAGGCGGAACACAATCTATGGGCCATTCTAAGCCATATTGTCTATGAAACTATATGCCATAAACAACTTTTGACTCTCAGCATTTGCAAGAGATAATACTGGTATTTCGTTTTATTTTTGAGGAAAATAATAAGTATCTGTTACTGATATTCCAAATAACAGTATTGAAAAAAATGTTTTAAAGAGAACTAAAGATTTTTAGCAAAGGAGAGAAACTAAAATTGATATATCTTTAAAATAATTTTCACAAAGGCAAAACGAAAAACCTGTATTTTTCTCTTGCAAATACAAAGGGTCAAATGCAATTCTAGGCACATAGTATGTCTCAGATTAGACCTGAGATTGACTGCCACACAATCGATTTTAAAAATGTTAGGGTTACTGTTGGTTTTTAAGGTATAGTTGCAATCAAATAAAAACACCTCTTAACGAGGTAAAAAACTAGTGACGACCGCACCTTCAACATACAAAAGTTCTGATATCAACATTTGTGACGAAAAATTATTACACTCGTCATTAAATAGACTTTCTAATATTTTCTCATTCGGCCCGCCCTAGCAAACTATTCCAGCCTTTTTCCCTTTACAGGCATTTTCTATTGCAGCGTGACGAATGAGAAAAGATTAGAAAGTCTATTTAATGACGAGTGTAATAATTTTTCGTCACAAATGTTGATATCAGAACTTTTGTATGTTGAAGGTGCGGTCGTCACTAGTTTTTTACCTCGTTAAGAGGTGTTTTTATTTGATATCAGAAGTTTTTGTTTGTTTACATTTGCTCTCATAGGAGCTAATATATACATTTAAATTTAAATTGGTCAATCATAATTTTTAAACTATTGTATTTTAACAAATTAAGTTAAAAAGGCGTTGAAGTATTTCAAAATACCTTTTAAACAAGGTATAGCACATGTCTGTACCTTTAGTAGTATAGAACTTACGAACTAACGAAATTTAGCTATTTTTAGCTTTTTCCCGCTAAAGTAGCGGCTTTTTCCAAAAGTCGTAGAACAAAAGATTCCTATATGGAACTCTTAAGTGCAAATTTACTGATTCCATGACCCTAAAATACAGTTCGGATACCCTCCCACAAAATTCAATACTCAGGGAGCGTTAATTGTTCGAGCTGGCAAAAGTGGCTATTTTCGTATAAAAATAACTTTTAAACGTGACTTTTTACAGTAATGTGTTATATACCAAAATTTAAGGAATCTCAAGGGCTATACAGTTTAAAGTTTTCAAGAAAATCGTTAGAGCCGTTTTTGAGAAAAATAAAAAAAAGCTAAAAAAAAAAGTTTTAAAAAATTGTCTTTTTTTCATATCTTTTTAACTATTACATTTACACAAATTGCATATAGAAGGCGTTTATAGCATTTAAAAATACCTTTCAAACAAGATGCAGCACAAGTCTGTAGCTTTAGTAGTATAGAAGTTACGGCTTTCCGAATTTTAGCTATTTATAGCTGTTTTCCCGCTAAACTAGCGAGTTTTTCCAAAAGTGGTAGAACAAAAGTTTTTTATATCGATGGGATGAACGTCATATTAAATTTTCAAAACTTAAGAAACATGTTTTGGACAAACTGACAAACTGACAAACTGACAAACTGACAAACTGACAAACAGAATTAAATTTTCATTTTGGGAAGAAGAAGGAAATCTTATTTTGGCTATAACTTTTGAACGGAGCGTCGGATTTTGACAAATGACCCCTCATTCGACGGGTATTTTCAAAAGGAATACAACTAAAACATTGCGAGGGGGCATTTATCCCCACCGGCCCCAACAGCTCCAAATTTCGAAATTTTCATTTTTTCACTTTCACCGCTCTCTCTCCCAAGTCAATTGATTTTCTTAAAGTCTTGGTATGCAATCCTTTAAGTTATTGCAATACCTTTCGATTGGTGTATCATTCATTATGATCGGACCATCACACTAGATTTTCATTTCTTCGTGTATATATAGTAGTCGCCTTCGCACACTCTCCTGGTGCGCTTCGTCACTATTTTTAAGGTATAGTTGCAATATTGCTTTGAATTGATGGAAGATGGCGTTCTTTACTTAATGTGTTCATTCTATTATTCACATTGAGACCTCGTTAATTATAATTATGTTATAGGTGTATGTATGTACTATTCTTTCTAATTAACACCGTTTTTTCACCAGGTTAACGTAAACCGCATTGACTCTTCTCAACAAGATGGTGAGAAGCGACAAGAAAGCTCTGTAATTCCGTGGGCACCCCCCCAGCCGAATTGGAACACCTGGCATGCATGCAACATCGACGAAGGCGATCTGGCTACAGCTTCTATTGATGACCTCTCGATGGAGTTCGAACGCTCATTGAGGGATCGCCGCCAGAACGACCCCGCATACCGACAATTCCTTGAGTTTCGCGACAAGCTACCAATAGCAGCCATGAGATCCGAGATTCTAAGCGCCATTAATGACAACCCAGTGGTAATTATTCGCGGAAACACAGGCTGCGGGAAGACCACTCAGATTGCACAGTACATCCTCGACGACTACATCTCTTCCGGCCAAGGCGGCTATGCCAATATTTACGTGACACAGCCTCGCCGCATCTCGGCAATATCTGTGGCAGAGCGCGTAGCCCGCGAGCGTTGCGAGCAGTTAGGCGACACAGTCGGCTACTCGGTACGATTTGAGTCAATTTTCCCGCGACCCTACGGCGGAATTCTCTTCTGCACCGTGGGTGTGTTGCTGCGCAAACTGGAGGCCGGATTACGCGGAGTTTCGCACATCATCGTGGACGAAATCCATGAGCGAGACGTGAACAGCGACTTTTTACTGGTGATCCTTCGCGACATGGTCGACACCTATCCGGATCTACACGGTAAGCTAAAATAAGGCTTTGTATTACAAAAATTAAATTGTTTTTCCTCTTGCAGTTATTCTTATGTCAGCCACTATTGACACGACGCTCTTTTCCAAATATTTTGGTGGGTGTCCCGTTCTGGAGGTGCCCGGCAGGGCTTTTCCCGTGCAGCAGTTCTTCCTAGAGGACATTCTGCAAATGACTGACTTCGTCCCCTCGGTGGAGTCGCGCCGTAAGCGCAAGGAGGCAGAGGACGAAGAACAGCTCCAGCTCTCAGAGAACAAGGAAGAGATGGAGACCAACTTTAACAAGGTGTGCGAAGACAAGTATTCACAGAAGACGCGCAACGCAATGGCCATGCTCTCCGAATCTGACGTTAGCTTCGAGCTGCTGGAGGCCCTGCTGATGCACATTAAGTCAAAAAACATTCCCGGCGCCATCCTGGTTTTCCTGCCCGGCTGGAATCTTATCTTTGCGCTTATGAAGTTCCTGCAGAACACGAGCACATTTGGTAATTCAGCCCAGTATCGTATTCTGCCGTGCCACTCGCAGATCCCGCGGGACGAGCAACGCAAGGTTTTTGAGACAGTGCCAGAAGGCGTCACCAAGATAATTCTCTCCACCAACATTGCAGAGACCTCAATTACAATTGACGATATTGTCTTTGTAGTTGACATCTGTAAAGCGCGCATGAAGCTCTTTACTTCCCACAACAACCTTACCAGCTACGCCACCGTTTGGGCCAGCAAGACCAATCTGGAGCAGCGCAAGGGACGCGCTGGACGAGTCCGTCCGGGATTCTGCTTTACGCTCTGTTCGCGTGCCCGCTTTGAAGTGCTTGAGGATACCCTCACCCCAGAGATGTTCCGAACGCCCCTGCACGAGATGGCTCTCACAATTAAACTGCTGCGACTCGGCGCCATCCACCACTTCTTGTCAAAGGCGTTGGAGCCACCACCAGTAGACGCGGTTATCGAGGCTGAGGTGCTGTTACGGGAGATGCGATGCCTCGACATCAACGATGAACTTACCCCATTGGGTCGCCTCTTGGCACGGCTACCAATCGAGCCGAGACTGGGAAAGATGATGGTCCTCGGGGCGGTGTTCGGCTGCGCCGATCTGGTGGCCAGCATGGCCTCCTATTCCAGCACCTTCTCAGAGGTGTTCAGCCTGGACATTGGCCAACGCCGCCTGGCAAATCACCAAAAAGCGTTAAGTGGAAGCAAGTGTTCCGATCACGTGGCAATGATTGTGGCTTCACAGTTGTGGCAGAGAGCTAAGCAACAAGGTGAGCAGGCGGAGGCCCGCTTCTGCGACTGGAAGGGTCTGCAAATGAGCACCATGAACGTGATGTGGGATGCCAAGCAGCAGTTGCTGGACTTGCTTGAACAGGCCGGATTTCCAGAAGAGTGCATGACATCGCACTACGTGGATTCGGAGCCTAATGGCGATGACCCGGTGCTGGACATGTCGCTGGCCCTGCTGTGCCTGGGCCTCTACCCAAACATTTGCGTGCACAAGGAGAAGCGTAAGGTGCTAACTACGGAGTCCAAGGCGGCGCTGCTGCACAAGACTTCAGTGAACTGCAGCAACTTGGCCGTCACCTTTCCGTATCCGTTTTTCGTTTTCGGAGAGAAGATACGCACGCGAGCCGTTTCCTGCAAGCAACTATCTATGGTTTCGCCCCTGCAGGTGATGCTTTTCGGGTCGCGCAAGATTGACTTGGCCGCGAACAGCGTAGTCCGCGTGGACAACTGGGTTAACTTTGAAATGGAGCCGGAACATGCGGCCAAGGTCGGGGCCCTGAAGCCGGCACTGGAGGATCTTATAACGGTCGCCTGCGACAACCCGGCCAACATACTCCAACTGGAGGAGCCATATGCCAAGCTGGTCAAGGTGGTCAAGGCCCTCTGTGTCAAGGGAGCAGGCGACTTCGAACTGCACCGCGACTCGGGAATTTTGCCGCACCAGTCACGCCAATTCAGTTCCGGCGGAGGACCGGCCAAACGAGGTCGCTTCGATGGTGGAGGCGGCGGCGGTGGAGGCCGCTTTGGCAACAGAGGTTCTGGTGGTTATGGCAACCGCGGAAATAGCAGCTTTGGCGGTGGGGGAGGTCGAGGCTTTGGAGGCGGCGGATATGGAAACAACGGTGGAGGGTATGGAAACAATCGAGGAGGAGGCTTTGGGAATAACGGAGGTGGATTTGGAAACATGGGAGGCAACGGCTATGGAGGCAGTGGCGGATCAGGAGGCGGTTTTGGAAACTCTGGCGGCAACTTCGGAGGAGGCAATGGTGGGCAGAACCAAACCGGCAGCTGGGGACGATTTTAATGGACACAGTTGGAAAATCTTCATTGAATTTCTCATTCGCAACAAGAAGTTTACACAAAGAAAAATTAATTTTCTGACTATATTTACTGTGGTTTATAAATAAAAGACACATCTAAAGGCATGCTCGAGTTTTTCACGGGTCTATGTGGGCCAGCTGGCAGTCTATGCCACAAAAGTAGGTCGCGGACTGTCCGTTTGAGTCGCAGATCAGCGCCGGTTTCAGACAAACGCAGCACCAGCGCTGTCGTTTGATCTGCACCAGGAGTGCGTCCACACATTTCGTCACAGGCCTCTTTCCCTGGATTGCGGTGACGATTTGGTCGTGCTGAAACTGTAATTTCCGGATGTCGATGTCCCAGCGTTTGTAGAGGTCGCGAACGTTATGACCCGAAATGGCCGAGGAGCTATCGAAACTCAGAAGATGGGGGTTCGTCTTCACCAATCTGTGCAGCTTCTCCGACGCCTTTCGAATGGCCGCAAAGTTGTTCATGAATTTCCGCTTTAGGCTGGATAGCTGTCGTCGGTTATTAAAGAATCCCTCGGTTTTGGGGACTTCTGAGTCTGTATAGCCTGGAAACAAGTCGCCATGGTCAGGGCTTGACCGGGTTCTTGGTTGCTTGGCTTCAAAGACGACGGTTCGGTCAGAATCGGTGTCCGAGTCAATACATATGGTCTGCGAGTCCTCCATCTTCCTTTCAACGTTCTGCCAAATTAGGAAATTTTCGATAGTGCGCGCCATTTACCGTTCACTGGACCACATGAGATGAATTTCGAGAAATGTCGATAGGCAAAAAGCCTTGAAATAATTTGGGGTATTCCCTCAACCAAGGGTGACCAGCAGAAGAAGAGCTCTAATTAGATTTTACATGTAAAATTTTTAAATTGAGATTTTGAAAGAACGAATTGGTATACTGCCATATCTGATGATTTCACTGCTGGCGCTGGAGTTCCTCAAGGTAGCGTGCTAGGGCAACATTATATGTCCTCTACACAGCAGACATCTTGACAAGCATATGATACAGCTATTCTTAGCCGCTCAAGATGTCCGATGCAAGCAACTGCGCAGCCCTTCATCTGGTCGATGTTGAAAAATAAGATTGGCGAATTAAAGTGAACGAACCAAAATGCAAGCACGTTAAGTTCACCCTGAACAGGCAAAACTGCCCGCTGCTTACGATAACAACACCCTACTCCCGCAAGCAAACGAAGTGACTTATAAAGGAGTATCCCTTGACAAAAGACTCACATGGCGCCGGCCCATTAAAGCCAAAAGAACACACCTAAAGCTAGAAGGCAGTAGCATCCATTGGCTTATCAACGCTAGGTATCCCCTTAGCCTTGAATATAAAGTCCTGCTGTAAAACTCCTTACAACTCCTTATGGACCTACGGCTCCCAGTCATGGGGGAATGCCAGCAATAGCAATTTTGACATAGTCCAGCGAGTTCAGTCGAAGATCTTGAGAACAATCACAGGGCCACCGTGGTGCGTTCGCAAAACATACATACATTGCGACTTAAACATTCTACCAGTCAAAGAAGTGATCGCAGAACAGAAGGATAAGTACTTTACCAAGCTATTGTTGCACCCTAACCACCTGGCGAAAGGTCTAACAAGGTTGAGTCTTCGTCGCAATAACCTACCCACCCAGCGACCGACTTAAGGAAAGCGTGATCAGATTGTAGCCTTAGCACACTGTTAGTTAAATTCTAATGATAAGACTCGTAAACTTATGGTTGGTCTCAAAATTAAGAGAAGATTCAATAAAAAAAGCATTATTCAGTACAAAAAAAAAAATTGGTATAGAACAGCTGACTCAAACTCACTGACCAAAACAACAGCTTAGGGAACCGCTTACGATTTTACAGAAAAAATTGCTTACTGATGATAGCAATATGTTACAGAGTTGGAAAGACTTCTCAAGATTATTGAATTGCTGAAATTTTCGAAAATTGATTTTGTATAAAACAGCTGATTAACTGCTGTTAACAGTTTAAGAAATCCCCTAAAGCCTAGTACTAAAACTGCTAGCTAAGCATAGGACTAAGAGACAGGCAAATTGGTAGCTTAAGCCATCAGCCGCTTTGCATGTAGCATGGTCTTATTGTAAATCAGCTGGGTTCACAAACAGCAAACAAACCGACTGACGGCAATTTCAATATTACAAAATGTTGAGCCGACCTGGGTCGCAAGCTTTAAATTTGCTATTGGCATCACGGTTGCCTCTTCAAAAATAAGAGCAAAAAAAAGAGCCAGCTTTGACTCAAAATTAATAGGGGGATTCCCTAAACTGTTGAATTGCTGAATTGTTGAAAATTCAACAAAAAATTTCAGCAATTAAGGGAACGACCCAAAATGGTTCCTGTTGAATTTTCAAACAGCTGTTATTTGTTGAAAAATTTCACGGAACTTAAAGCATGTAAAATTTGATTTAATATTGCTAGTTACTGTCTAAAAGTGTTACCAAGGTAAAAAGAACCACAAATATGCTTTCTAAGTTGATTTTAAAATAAATAATGCGTACTGGTGATACTAAAATGTTACAGAGTTGCCACGACATTTAAAAAAGGTGACAACTCTGGCTTTTCAGCAATTCAACAAAATTTTCAGCAGCCTCGAGGCTGTTGAATTGCTGAAATTTCTGAAAGTTGACTTTGTATGGAACAGCTGATTAACAGCTGACCAAAATTCAACAATTCAGCAATTCAACAGTTTAGGGAATCCCCCTAATAATTATACTTAGCTTTACTTGGCTGAACGCGACCAATTTTTTTCACCGCTGTCAAATGCGGACTCAGTGTGAACTGGTGTTCAACCGTACTATCGATACAAGGGAACTATACATATCGGAATCACGCTTTCATCTCTAGCATTTCCTTCGGCGCGTAATTTTCGTTTAAGAGATTCATCAATAAAGAATACGTTTTCAGGTTATTTAGACAAAGAGACGAAGCGATGGACTTTGACGACGCGAAAGAGAACATCCAGCCGTTGGCCAGCGGCCGCAACGTGAGCCTGCTGCAGGCGTCGCTCAGCCAGGACTCGGCCCACGGCCAGGAGCTGCTGGCGCATCGCAGGCAGATGGAGGAGGAGCTGCGCACATACGCGGGCGATGATCCACTCGGAGCCTGGTACAACTACATCTGCTGGATTGAGCAGAGCTATCCCGCCGGGGGCAGTGGTTCCGGTCTGCATGCGGCCCTTCACCAGTGCCTCACAAAATTCGAAGAGGATGGACGCTACCGCCAGGACAAGCGTTTTATTAAGCTCTTTATAAAATTTGTAAGTGATCAATGTTGTTTTCGGTGGTGCAATCTTACTTGGCTACGTATATGACTTCTCCACTTTTTAGATGGAGAAACAGAAGGACCAGATCGAGTTCTACCAGCAGATGTACAACAATGGAATCGGAACAATGCTGGCAGACTTTTACATTGCGTGGGCCTACAGCTATGACCTGAGCGGCAACATGCGCAAGGCTGACGAGATCTTCCGCCTGGGAATCGAGTGCCGTGCGGAGCCGCTCGAGGATCTCAGGGAGGCGCACCAGCACTTCGGCTATACCGTGGGTCAGCGCATGCTCTACACTACCGGCGATGTGGCCAATTCAGTAAATCAGGAGCTAAACGAGCGACGGCTGGCATTGCAGTCGTTGCATGGTCGCCGCGAGCACAGGACCAACATGATTACCGTGGGGAGTATCCGAACCGGACAGGCGGTAAAGAGCGGGTTGCCAGGCGTTGTTCAGGTGGGTGTTATTATTGTGAGAGTATTTCTTAAGAATTTCCGTGATTTCTTAAGAATTTACATACAAAAAAACTTGTCGGTCAGCCATGGTTCTATTGTAATATTATTTCAAAGTTCCCCGTTTTGATATAAAAATCAAATGGGCTTTTTCAAAGTCTAAAATTAAAGAAAGCTGAGAAATTTGTAAAAGAGAACCACTCCCCACAAGTGGGGAAACTTTAACCGCGGTGGATAGTTCTAAGCAATATTGACAAAGAAACGATGCAAAATAATGTTTTTTTTAATACCTACTGACTTTTCAAATAAAAGTATTGAAAACAAGAAAGGAAGCTAGCTTCAGCCAGCCGAAGCTTATATACCCTTGTAGATCATTCATTGAATTTAGATTTGCTTGCAAATATGTTTAAAAAATCTAAATTTTTGTTGCTTTCGTATTATTTTGCCATTAATCCTTCCTATGACAGCTATATAATATAACCGTCCGAATTTTGTTAAATTTAATTCAAAATTTTTAAATGTTAAAAAAAACGTATATAAAAAAATATAAAATATATTTTTTTTTCCTTATTAATTTCTATTTTATTTTACGACCGTTCCCATGGCAGCTAAATGATATTGTGATCCGATTTTGTAAAATTTTTTTTCGAAATTTAGAAAAATATAGAAAATGATATTCCCAAGAGTAAAAGGTAATATTTCAAAAAACAGCGAAGCTAGAATTATTTCCTTTTCTCCGATCTTTTTAATGGGAGCTATAAGATATAGTTGTCCGATCCGGACGGTTTCGACTGCAATAGAAAGAAGACTTTTGGGAAAGAATCATCCCGATCGCTTAACAACTGAGAGACTAGTTTGCATAAAAACAGACATATTGTACGTCGCTAGCTTTGAAAAATAAAATAAGATACAAGGCAGTCAGACTAATACTAACTCGTCATCCTTTCCTTAGATCGATGCTCCAAGCACAAGCGGAAGGCGTAATGTCGGTCGCAACGTGGAGGTGTTTAACGACGAAAACGCTGAGGCGATGCCTGTGTCCGAGACGGAGGTAAAGTCCAGCTTGCGTTCAATTATTGACGCAGCTCGCGGGCAGGAGAATATAAAGGAACCAGTAGCCTGGAACAAGGCAAATTCAAAACCCCACAAGCACGGGAGAATCTTTGGAAGTAACACCTCGCCGGGCTTGGGTTTTGACATACACGTTGACGAACAAGTGATGCCCCCTATCACCAATTACGAGCACCGCCTGGAACAGCCCTTTAAATTTCCGCCAAACTTTGTGGCCAAGAACAAGCCTCAAGAGTCCTGGGTGACTCCAGTTACCATAGAAGACGAGCCGAATGGAAGTGGACTGCCTTGCTACAATAAGTGCCTCCTTTATCCGCGCCCCAACCTAGAGTTCTCCCCCGAGGAGTACCGTGCCTACTGCCATCTGAAACGCCGCAATCCACAGCATCCTTTTTTCCAGCGAAACGATGAGTGGTGGGGCACTGGTCAGGTAATTAGAGGCATTCGGTGCTACCCGAACTTTGCCAAGTCTTCCAGGCCACAGCCGCGTGACGAGCTAGACAAATTTTGGAAACCCCCTATCGTGCCTGGCCTGGAGGTCGTTTTCGACAAACTCTACAATGAAGAGGAGCAGCAGGAGTACCAATCAGAGGAGCTGCTGGCAGCCAAGTGGCTGCAAAAGCGCAATGTGACAGTTCATGGCGACTTCGACATGGAGGAAACAGTGTGTTTGCCTGGGAACAAAATGCCACGCCGAAAAAGTTTCTTTCCTTCATCTTCCAGAGAGTCTATGAAGTCACGCAGGGTTTCCTCTGTCCAAGAAGAGAAAGAGAAGGAGGAGACTGAAGATACAGTGGTCGTACGAGAAGCGACATTACCGCCGCCTGCTGTTACAGCTAAGTCGCCTGCTCCAATCGAGCAGAAAGCTGTGCCGCAAATTAAAATATTTGAGGATTCCATCGCACATTCCGATAAGCAGTTTGCAGTACCAGCTCCTCCTGTATGCAAGATAGATATTTATGAAGACTCAGAAGACCCGCAGCCAACGCTAAAAACAAAGCCATCAAATGCCGCACCGCTTTTTGACGGCGATGAGACTTGCTCCACGCAAGTTTTCAACATGTTCATAGAGTCACAGGCTGTAAGTACACCCAAGGGCACACAGAAGCAAGCACCGTCACGTCAATTTGGAACTATTCTCAAAGAACTTCCCCCACCAGAGGACACTGCTTCTGCTCCCGCGGTCGATTCTCCAGTGGAGGCACGGAAACAGCTATCCACCATACTAGAGACCTCTGAACATGGCACCCAAAGCCTGGCGACTAGTGGCGCTACCACAAAGTCTACCATTACCTCTTCGTTTTCGCCCGGATCCAACGTTTGTTCGAAAATGGCCAGCAGGAATGAGGAGTGCACTCCTGGACAAATGCGTCTGCAAGGTATGATTGGTCTGGGGCATTCAGCAGTCGTCGTGGAACCGGACAAATTAAGTGGCGACAACTTTTCCCATCGCGAGTTATGGGAACCAAATGCACCTAGCGTGCCACTGCTTAAGTCCCTGCGCTTCCAGGAGGATAAGACAGAGACTATTCCAAGGCCTCTAGCGTGCTTCCAGGAAGACAGAACTGAAACGTTGCCACGAGTGCCACGCGCTCTGGTCTGTTTTCAGGAAGATAAAACCGAAACGCTACCACAAATGCCTTCCGCTCTGCCTGAGACTTCTTTGCTTCAGCGCTCTGTGGTTGTTGGAAAATCCTTATCCCCACCACAAATTCCTTCTTTAGATGATGAAAACGATTTGTGTGGATTATTTGGAAAGACACCGCCGAAGGTAAACCCTTTTGGTTCTCCAAAACGCAATTCCGACCATACCACTCCCGATCTTTTTAAGTCGTTAAGAGACGCTGATGCGCCCAGTATCAAGCTGCAGGATTCCATTATGACCGACCTTTCCTTTGTGCCTGAGACACAGCCTGAGCCCAAGCCAAAAGCGGAGACCATGCTGAATAAGTTTGAAATCTTTCTAGACGACACGCAGCCAGTGGTAACAAATACAAAAGCAGTACCGTCGATTGGTTCCAGTTTTGGTTTGGACTGCACTTTTCCGGAAACGCAGAAGCCAGTTCTAAGTCCAGCAAAAAACCAGGAAACATTTGGACAATCCCATATGATTGCTTCGTTTATGAAGGATTGCACAGAAATAAGCAGCTGTCCTCCACCGATCCCAACCCCGATCGTCGCAAATAATCTCGCATGTACTTCGACAGAACTGAAGTTTCCCACAGGTTCCATGTCAGAACCTTTAACAAAAGCTTCCGGCAATGACAAATTGGGCAATGCTGAGCTACATGACGACTTTTTTGAGCTCAACGCAGCCACAGAGATGTTTGGCACCAATATTAGTATGATCAAAAATTCTACACTACTCCGTCCGCCAGATGTCTTAAATCCTCCTGAAGAAGAAATGGCAGAATTAAGCATATACTACAAGACAACACCACTGACGCCGAAGCAGTCACATCATTCCTGGTCCCACTCCGATTTGGAAACACCGTCGCGTGAGCACTATGTCCACCCCAAGTCCAATGGCGATCACTCTATGTTGAACGATACCCTGGCCGACGCAAATAGAAACCCGTTCAACGTAGAGCTCATCAGCTCGCTACTCGAATCAATAGACTTCTCCATGTACATCGAAAAACTACCTCACTGTCACCTGGTGGGCCACGTCAAGCGACTTCATCCTAACACCCAGCTGGTGGTCCACAATGAACAGTTCGAGGTATCCAAGATGATAGGCAAGGGAGCTTACGGGTCGGTATATGTAGGGCGGCATCTTAAATCTGGGAAGAAGGTAGCTCTTAAGCAGGAACGACCAACCAATTACTGGGAGTTCTACATATGTCTGGAGATTCACAGCCGGTTATCAAGTGAGCAAATGGTAAGCCTATGATAATAACACAGTCCACTTTAATTTATTATGACTAAAGGAAAAGTAGGGGAAAAATCGGTTTGTTTCATAAATCGGTATTATAACTCGTACGTAAAATTTGAATTTTCGTGTTTTTTTAGGGTAAGCCTTTACGACCCTATAAAATATATATATTCTTGATCAGGATAACAAGCCGAGACGATCTAGCCATCTCCGTCCGTCTATTTGTCCGCCTGAACGCTGTGATATCTGAAAGAATAAGAGCTAGATAATTGGGGCTTAAGGTCTAGATTCCTTAGCTTCCTATTCAGCGTAAGTACTTTGCGATTGTGCCACGCCCACTGTAGCGCCCACAACCGCTTTCGTCTAGCTCCCACATTTTTTAAGTCTTTGTAACAGTGTAAATGAGATCTTGTTTTGATTATTAATATTCATCTAACAACCGATTTTAAAAATCGCTCCATTCATTAAAATTATGAGCGATCAAAGTTTATTCCGAGAGATGGCGCTAGTTCGAAAAATCGGAATCTGTTGCTCTGGCAACCACATTTTTAAAGATAGAGAGTAAAAATTGTTTCATACAAATTTAGTAGTATCTCGAATTCGAGTGAAACGTTTGAAAAATCCATTTTATTATTTACTTCTTCTCCCATTAAGAAAAATCTGAGGAAAACTCTTAAAAATACTCTTCTGCTTAAACAAAATTGACTCCACGGCCCCAGGTGCAATTTTATTGACGCGGCAACACAAATCTAACACTATCCACTAGCAGTAAAGTAACCTACCACAAAGAGCTTTAAAATTTAAATTGTACTCAGCATCTTAAGTTTGTATCTAGTCTAAAAAATATAAAAATTAAAAATCGGAGGTATTTTTATTTTTATTTGAGTGGTATTAGAGGGGAATGTTTGTTTGATAGGTAGTATTAATTGTGAAGTAAGCTATACATCAGAGAACTATTTGATAAACTATTACCATTAATTAAAGCAAATTAAACATTTTACAGATTCCAGCCTACGCACATATAGATTATGCCCTGGTGGGCAACAATTCCAGCGTATACATCTCGGAATTTTCAGACTATGGTTCACTTATCGGTGTGTGCAACAAGGTAAAGAGTGTCACAAGTAGGAATCTAGACGAGTATGTTGTAATGCACTTAAGCTGTCAGATGCTTGACATTGTGGATCATCTGCACGCCATGGGTATCATTCATGCCGACATAAAGCCGGATAACTTTCTGCTAATGAGGCCGTAAGTACATCCAGCCAACTGCTAATGCTCTTTGCCGAAATTTTCATTTATTCCTTCTGTTTTAGATTATGTTCTGATCCAAACGATGTGAGTCTACAGCTAATTGACTTCGGTGTGTCTATAGACACCAAGCTCTTTCCGAACAATCAGACATTTAATTATGTCCATCACGATGATCTGTTCAAGTGTATTGAGATGCGAACCCAGCGTCCGTGGACTTACCAGCTGGATTTATTTGGTCTGGTTGGCGTCATGCATGTACTGCTATTTGGGCGCTATATGGAAGTGGCTCAACGATTTCCGAGCACCGTGTGGATGCCCAAGACAACCATACCACGCTACTTTCAGCGGCAAATGTGGGAGAACGTGTTCCGAGCACTGCTTAACATTAGAGACTGCCGCACCATGCCCAATCTGCAGCAATTACGTACTCAGCTCAAGTATGCGCTGGCTGAGAAGGAAAAATATGTCGGAGAGGCCATCAGCAAGTTTAATACAATACTACAACAATAGCTTTTTAACTGTATTTTTCCTGAATCAGTTTTTCTTATGCATATAAATCATTTTTAAATAGTTTTTTAAGATAAAGTATTTTCTTAGTAACGGTTTTATTTGGCTCTTGAACAAATATACAGGTTAGTTAACTAAGTAATGCGTGATTTGGTTCCACCATAGTTCTAAGGCAAAGAGATCGCATATCACTTTCGTTTTGCCGACGTTTTAAAAGCCCATGTTCAACGGCTTTAGTAAACGTATTAACGGTTTTATTTGGCTCTTGAACAAATATACAGGTTAGTTAACTAAGTAATGCGTGATTTGGTTCCACCATAGTTCTAAGGCAAAGAGATCGCATATCACTTTCGTTTTGCCGACGTTTTAAAAGCCCATGTTCAACGGCTTTAGTAAACGTATTAAGCGGTCGCTTTCAAACTTGGCCGCATTTTTTTACCCTTGCAGAGGGTATTATAATTTTGGTCAGAAGTTTGTAACGCAGTGAAGGAGACGTTTCCGACCCCATAAAGTATATATATTCTTGATGAGCATCAATAGCAGATCAAGTTTGAAAATCGACCCGACCGGACGTCTATATGATATAGCTCCCATTGGAACAATCGGATATAACTTGCAAAAACTGAAGATTTTTCGCGCAGTGTAAAGTATTGACATGAATCTTTTCAAATCGTATTTTTTTGTGCATACCTTGATCAGGGTAAAAGCGCTTGACGATCGGACGTCTATTTCCTATAGCTCCCATAAGAACAATAGGGTGAAAAAATAAAAAAAAATATTTTTTGAATTATGAAATATTTTGTTTATTAATTCATGTTGCTATTGTAGTCAAATTCGTGAAATCTGAAAGGGTATTAAAACTTCGGCTTGCCGAAGTTAGCTTCCGTCCTCGTTCCATATAAAGTAGCCGGCCCCTGGAAAGATTTTTTTTATTAAATATTTTTATAAGGCAAAAAGATAAAATTTATTCCTAAGAAACGCAGCGTTAACTTTAACTTTAAATTAAAAAATTTTAAATCAAGTTTCTCAGGATGCGGTTTTTTTAGCTCTTAAAAGAAACTTTAAGTCAAAATTGAAATTCGATCATTATACTCTTGCAGAGGGTAAATTTAAAAAGCACTAAAAATGCTGCACAGTGATATTAATGCGTTCTAGGTGGGTTTACAGTTTAGCTAAGGTTCGGAGGGATTTTACTTTGATATTAATTTGAATTTGAGTATATGAAAAAATCAGCAATAAATGCTTTGCTAATAGTACCGGGCAACGTCGCTTCGGGTATTGCTAGTATATATATACTTAATGTGGTCAGAAACTTCTCCTTCACTGCGTTGCAAACAAACTTTTAAAAACACAGGACGGCAACACTACTACTATTTTGACCGCAGCTGAATGCTTTTATGTTTTTTGACTACGTTTTCTAAAACTTGTTTCTCCCTTAGGCCTAGTACTCACTTCAATCAAAAAGCCTACGAAATGAAAATCTACATACGAAATTTTGATCACGAAATTTTTCGCCTGTCATTTTTGTATAGAATATTTCGTTTCGTTGCCTTTTTGATTATAGTGAGTACTAGGCTTTAATAAAAATTCTAAAATTATTCTAAGTATGGGTTTTGAAAGATAAAGAGTGTATCTTTTAAAAAACTTTAACATCAAATCAAACAATGTATCCGTTTGCCTCTGAGAGCTCCGGAAAGTTGGCCAATTTCAGCATTTTTCGAACTTTGAGGTCATTTTGCTAAGAATCCTTGAGTCGGGGAACTTTTTGGAAAACGCAGTTTAACTTTGGAATTCGTAACGAATCTAAAAATATAGCATCCATTGGGGTACATTTTTGATGCTGCATAGTGTATTCTATCCATATCCTTCTACACTCAGAAAAAAAATCGCCCTAAATTTTAGAAAATCGCCATACTTTGAAAATCGCCTTGAAATTCAGAAAATATTTCTATTTTTCAGAAATATTTTTCTAAATAATAAGAAAAACTTACCCTGATTAGATTAACTCCTCTTGTTATCCACTTTTAGATAAATTTTCTGTTATTCAGAAATTTTTCTTTCAAACTAAGAAAAAATCGCCTTACATTTTAGAAAATTGGCCCAATCGGTAGCCTAGGGGTCTAATGCGAGCGGATTATTTGTTTTCTACGCTTATATTCGGAAGCGTGTGTTCGATCCCACGTCGAGGCGGACATTTTTTGCGTCTTTTTTTTTTTGCGCATTAAAATGTATACTTTAATACAAATAAGGATTTAGGTAAGCTAACACACACATAATGGATAAATAAGAGTATAAACCTAGAACCCAAGAGAACAGAATGAGAATGTACTTTGTACAGCGCCTCTCGTGATGCTTCCCTGGCGCAGCTAGTAGAGTGTTTGACTGCAAACTGTGAGGTAAGGGGTTCGAATCCCGCGAGCGACCAAAATGTTTTCCTCAAGATAGTAAGTTATTGGATTTTTATGTTTATCATTAATAAATAATATAATAATTTCAGTTATTATTTCAGTTACAATTAAAGATTAAAAGTGTGTTTGTGTACAAGCATCGTGACGTCATCCATGTGTTTAAATAGAGGAGAGAAAAATAAGTTGAGAAACGAGAACCCCAACAACAACACCCCACACCGACAGACTCCACCCAGTCGGCATAACTCCCGATTCCCCGATTTTTTTGTTCTTCTTCTTATTCAATTTTGCAAAAACTAACCCTAAATTTAAGAAATTTTTTTTCTAATTTTTAGAAATATTTTTTCTAAAAGGCAAGGCGAGCTGCCTTTGGCTTAAAAAGTATGGCGATTTTCTAAAATTCAGGGCGATTTTTTTTCTGAGTGTAACCATAACATACCTTACCTTCACACCGTATTAACCCTAACATTACCTCAACTTAACCCCACCTATTTTATTCTAACCCTTTGCACACTTTTTTAGCACCTTAATGCTGTTTTCACTATTTCCTCGCCTTAACCAACATTAACACCAGTTTTTCCTCTTCTTAGCTAACCTAACTTTAGTCTCACCTAAAAAAAATGTTTCCTTACTATACTTACTTACTTTAACTTCACTTTTTCTTAGTAAAACTTGTTTGTCACCTTGAATCACCTTATCTTCACTAAAGTCCAAACGAACTTTTTCACCCTCACCCTTCCCTACCTCCTTAATCGCAATTTAACCCCGCATTAACCTCACCTTATTCCCACCTTAACTCCACAGTTCTGGTAGCCTAATTATATCATTTTGGTTAGCTAAGCGAATGCAGAGAAAAATTCTTACTATTTTTCACCGTTTATTTCAAACAGATCTAACCCCCAAAACTTTAAAAACATAAAAAAAAAATATAAAAACAAGAAAGGAAGCTACCTTCGGCCAGCCGAAGCTTATATACCCTTGTAGATAAAGTAATGCTTACACGGTACAGTTCCAGGAATTCCAATTTTGTTTTTAAGTAGTTAAGAATCAAAAAGCCTACTTCCTACAAAATTACAATGAATTTTTTTATATTTGTTTGAATTTTCCTATGGGAGCCTTAAGATATAGTGGTCCGATCCGGCTCGCTCCGACATATGTACTACCTGCAACAGAAAGAAGACTTCCGGGAAAGTTTCATCGCGATAGCTTTAAAACTGAGAGACTAGTTCGCATAGAAACGGACAGACGGACATGGCTAGATAGACTCGGCTATTGGTGCTGATCAAGAATATATATACTTTATGTGGTCGGAAACGTCTCCTTCACTGCGTTGCAAACATCTGACTGAAATTATAATACCCTCTACAAGGGTATAAAAATAACACAGAAATACCTATGAAAAGGCTACGGCCAAAATGGTTTAAGTGAAAAACGGTTCCGCTCGCAGGATCGGTAGGTAAACAAAAAAAGAAGTACCCCAATGTCGGCTGGAGATCAACAGCTGGAGTTAGGTATAGTCGAGTGCCTCGACTATTAGATACCCGTTACTCAGCTGACAGACAGACAGACAGACAGACAGACAGACAGACAGACAGACAGACAGACAGACAGACAGACAGACAGACAGACAGACAGACAGACAGACAGACAGACAGACAGACAGACAGACAGACAGACAGACAGACAGACAGACAGACAGACAGACAGACAGACAGACAGACAGACAGACAGACAGACAGACAGACAGACAGACAGACAGACAGACAGACAGACAGACAGACAGACAGACAGACAGACAGACAGACAGACAGACAGACAGACAGACAGACAGACAGACAGACAGACAGACAGACAGACAGACAGACAGACAGACAGACAGACAGACAGACAGACAGACAGACAGACAGACAGACAGACAGACAGACAGACAGACAGACAGACAGACAGACAGACAGACAGACAGACAGACAGACAGACAGACAGACAGACAGACAGACAGACAGACAGACAGACAGACAGACAGACAGACAGACAGACAGACAGACAGACAGACAGACAGACAGACAGACAGACAGACAGACAGACAGACAGACAGACAGACAGACAGACAGACAGACAGACAGACAGACAGACAGACAGACAGACAGACAGACAGACAGACAGACAGACAGACAGACAGACAGACAGACAGACAGACAGACAGACAGACAGACAGACAGACAGACAGACAGACAGACAGACAGACAGACAGACAGACAGACAGACAGACAGACAGACAGACAGACAGACAGACAGACAGACAGACAGACAGACAGACAGACAGACAGACAGACAGACAGACAGACAGACAGACAGACAGACAGACAGACAGACAGACAGACAGACAGACAGACAGACAGACAGACAGACAGACAGACAGACAGACAGACAGACAGACAGACAGACAGACAGACAGACAGACAGACAGACAGACAGACAGACAGACAGACAGACAGACAGACAGACAGACAGACAGACAGACAGACAGACAGACAGACAGACAGACAGACAGACAGACAGACAGACAGACAGACAGACAGACAGACAGACAGACAGACAGACAGACAGACAGACAGACAGACAGACAGACAGACAGACAGACAGACAGACAGACAGACAGACAGACAGACAGACAGACAGACAGACAGACAGACAGACAGACAGACAGACAGACAGACAGACAGACAGACA